CCCCCCCCGCCGCCTTCCTAAAGTCAATTAAAGCTGCCGTTTCCACCGCTGCGATTGGCTCGCACCGGGCTAATTAGCCTAATTATCAAACCTCATTAAGGAGCTGTAGGTCAGAAAGTCGAGAGACTTCACCTCTTCCCATGCCTGGAGCGTTTCCATCGCCCCCAGGGGCTCGGCTCCATCCCTTGGACGGCGGCATCAGCCTGACCCTGACCTCCGGGTGCCACGGCCACACAAAGGGAACAGTCTCCCCCTTGTACCCCCGACCGATGAAACGCCTTCGACCCCTCAAAGTGTGCTTACCCGGCTTTTTTTTTTTTTCCCCTCTGCAAGGCATAACCTTCAGAAACCACGGCTCAGCAAACGGGATCTAAGCTCGGCTGGGAAGAAAAGGAGGAAAGACATAAAAGTGGCCTGGTTGGAGTTGGAATGAAACGGATGGAAGGTGGCGGCTGGGAGGTCTGGCTGACGGGGAGGAAGAAAGGAGATGAGAACAATCGCTTGTGCTGGGACCTCATTTTATTGCAAAGAAAATACAAAAGTCGGATAGCAGCATTCAAGGGACCACGGTGTCCCCTGCTCCGGGGGAAACAAGGCAGGCCAGTCCGGAGGCTTCTCAACCCAGCTTTCAGATGATCGCGTGTTCCTGACGGCAGAATCCTTCAGCGGCTCAGACGCAGGCTTTTGCCGGTGCCGGTAAAGCATCTCCTTGATGTTGCACCGAAGGATGGTGGGCACAGGGTTTGCTCAACAGGTTTGGGTTCCAGGCAGGAGCAGGGAGTCCCCAGCAGACCCCACCACATATCTTAATTGCGTGTCTCCTCACTCTGATGTTAATTTATTAACAGCACACAGGGATGATTTACCTGGATTTCTAGCGGGAAGCTCCCCAGGGCTCCAAACACCTGAGCACAGTGAAGACAAAACTCAAGCCCCCAAACACCAGGTCCACGTACAGACTGGCAGGGAGGGCAGAGCCCCAGGCACGCACACTTGGTGCCAGGCTCCACCGTGCTCCATGCCAAGGGCTCCGCAGAGCGGCACGCAGAGCCCCAGCCCTGCTCCTCCAGCCTCCAAGCCTTGCTCGTACCCTGACCTGTGCCAGTTGCTCTCCATCCCCAACATCCCGTTAAACCTGAGCTGCAGAACCCACTGCTCTTCCTGTTTTGGGCTTTTCTTTAGCTGCGACAGCCTCTACATTTGTATCTGCGATCTTGGTGCAAAGAGTAATGACTTTGAAGTAACTTTGGTGCAATAAACTATTAAAACTCCTAAGAAAAGGGGGTCCACTCTCATTTTGCGTGACAAGCCATTCTAAAGAAGTGAGCATCTATAAGATGCTGCTAGCAGCACCTTCAGACCAAACCACTCCACGTTCATTCACTAGCCAATCTTCCAGAGGGGTGGACAGGCAGGACCCCAGCGCGCACCAGAAACAAGATGTACAGAGGCAGAAAGACGCCTATTCCCTGCTCCGTTTCCCTTTCTGATTAATATGCTCCAGCAAATGCTCGCAAGCCCAGCGAGCCATTCTCTGACCTCCCTGCTCCTCTCACCAGTGGCCAGGGAAGCAGCTTGTATACACACGGAGAACGGATCACGATTCCATTTCTCACTTCTCCGGGAATCCACTCAGATGAGTCTGTGACCAGGCCCAGCCCTCTGGAGCGAGTACCACATGTCAGGAGCAGCAAACTGCTTAGGAAGTTGGAGGAAAGGATGACAAGGGAAAGGAGGAACAAGCATTTTTACAAACTACCGCACAGAAGAGGTCAAAATTAAAGCAGCAGCTGGCAGTCATCTAAGAGGATGGTATACGCAAGCCTGTGGGAAGGGCTCCCACACAGGAGTTGGAAACCACTGGCCTTTAGAGGATCTACAGAGAGTTTGAGAGCTCTCTCTGTCACACCCAGTCATACCAGAATGTTTCTGCTAGCCAGCAAAGCCTTCCACTCAGGCTGCCTGGGCAATACCGACTCCCTACATGGTCATACTCTCACACCCATGAACTTCAACAGGGCAGGGAGGAAAGCTGACATAAGACCACCACGCGGGCAGCAGTAGCCTCTTCCTCCTGCATGAGCACTGCTGGAGTCCTTCAGCCTTCAGAAGAGATGGCAAACGCGTGCTGATAATCCTTCACTGCAACCCTTTGTCCGCTAAAAGACAGGAGATGCTCCTGAACTTCCAGGCACAAACACCTGACAGCAAGGACGCGAGACATTGCCCAAAAGTAGTGGATGACAGCTCTGTAAACACAGTACTAGAATCGTGCGTGTGCAGCTGGTTCTCCGATGTCCGTCCCCAGCTTCCACAAGATAAGGTGTCGTAGAAGGCCTGAAGATTTTATTTCAGTTTGGGCCATTCCCCCAAAGAATAATATATTCTACTTCAGCCCGCTATATTGATTCCATCATCCTCTGTTTCTGGACTGAGCAAAAGTGCCAGGATACCCGCAGGACCAGTTTCTCCACATGACCAGAGAGCTCAAGGGCTGTTAAAACATAGGCAAAGAGCTCAACTCTTCACATCCACCTTGAGCTTCAAGCGCACATCACACAGGAAAACGTTCATCAGGTCCTGGCCAGCCTCCTGAGCGATCCTGCTGATAACCTTACCTCCTCTTCCAATCAACATCATCTGTGTTAAAACCCAGAGAGAAGATCATTATACTCCTCCTTACATTGCTTAACTGCGAGGAGGAATCACCCAAGAAAACAACAGTGCAGCCACAGAAGCAATTAAAGGGGGTACAGCAGTTTGAGAAATCCCAAGATTAAACCACGGGCAACTTCAGAAAGGTGTAGGCTGTTACTGAACAGCCTGTGACTGTGTCAGGCACCTGGCTCTTCCCAAGAGAGACCCCACAGCTGAGGGAGAGGGGGACACGGCTAGGATGCGCGTGGCTGGACCAAGGGAACCTCCTTTCATGCTCCCCAGCGCCCCATCTCTCTTCTGTTACTCACCATATGAGACTTCCTTGGGACCAAGAGGTTCTGCACGACGAGGAGCTCCCCACTTGGTCCTTCCTCCCACATCTCTGTCACCTGCAACAGCAAGCACGCACTCAGCAGTTCTGCAAAGTGCCTTGGGAAGCGTAAATGCCACTCCCTTAGAGACGCCAGCTCAGCTCCCCGATACGAGCATGCGGGGGAGGACCCCCCTTCAAACACACAAAGGATCTCTCAGCACCCAATGTGCGAGTCCCAAGTCACCCCATGGGGCCTGTAAGGAGTCTGGCAGATTTCACAGATTCAGACAAAGGGATTCTCATCACATAGTCTGATATTTCCAATAAAACAGCTCAAAGGCAAGTCTGCTTGCACATGCTTCCCACCTGAACCACGCCGTAGGGCACTTCCAGTGGCAGGTACTCCAGTATCTTCTCCCTGATGATATTATCACAGATCTCTTGAGGTGACTGGCTAGTCAAGACCCCACTGTGAAACTCCCAAGGGCCTGGCTTGGCTTGCATCAGGAGGTACCGCTGTCAGCACAAAACAACATCACACCCATCAGCTGTCACGTACCACTCTCGCGGTGCCACCAACCCCTGTGCTCATCTTGCAGTGAGTCGCTATGAGGACGCTGCTGCTAGTCAGGCATCAGGACAGTAGTTTAGTCTTTTTGGCAGGGAAAGGAGAAGGGGAAGCTTCTGAAACTCAAACCCTGCCAAAGAGTCACACCTCCCTAGAGCTGTTTGTATGAGTTACAAAAGCCCACGGTATCCCTTGCAGCTGAAAGATAATGTGTCGGGTGGCTTCATCATTATGAACAAGCTGCTGTTTGGAGAGCCCCAAATAAAAAGAGTTCTGTACAGAAAACTCTAGAGATACAGTATGGACATACTCCACGTTGACAGACAACACCCCCCCCCCACCCCAGGCCAAGAAGACCAGCTCTGCTACTTCCTCACAGGAGATGAAGCTCAATATGAAGTACCAGAGTCCCATAAGGGTAAGAGCACACCAGTCTCAAAGCGTAACAGAAGTTCAGACTGCAGTTACCTTGAGCGTATCCACCTCCTCCCCATGGCGAGCTGCCAGCATGAAGATCTCCTGGAAGCACGGCCAGCCTTTTGTATTTTTTAGATCTCTGGGTCCAGAGCACTTTGGCCCTTCTGCTTCTTCTGTGACAAGACTGGACTCAGAAGCCCTCATATCACTGGTGTTGTCCAAGCTAGAGCCTTCTTGGGCTTGACCTGTTTCCTGCAGACAGTGAGACTCAGGGTCCCTATTCTCAAGTGGAGAAGCCCGAGTGATTTGAAGAGGAGACTTTGCTGAAGAACTGGAATTATGTTTAAATGCAGATCTCACTTCCAGTTTCTTTCCATTTACAATTCCCTCTGTTAGTTCAGTTACTAATTCCAGCAGGATGAACTTGTTCTTTAGCAGATCCACCTAAAGTGAGAGAGAGAGAAGTGTCAGAAGTTTGTCCTAAATGAGGTTGGCAGCTGGGCCCTGGATCTGAAGGAGCCAGAAGAAACCACTCAAGGGAGGCAGCTGCTGCAGGACAAGGATTCTGCAACAGAACCGGACAGTTTTACGACCAGAGGCCAAACCAGAGCGTGTCAGCAGTTCCAACACAGCTTGTCCAAACACTGTCTGCGTGACAGCAACACCTTCTCTATCAGCTCCGCTAAGATTCTTGCTGGCCAACCTCGCCTGTGGTGCCAGCTCCTCTTCCCAGGCCAATTTAAACCCCAGTCTGCAGCATATAACTTCAGGGATGCTTGCACATGCAGCACGTATACGTACATACACACTTAAATATTCTGCAACAGAGGGGGAAACCGATGTCCTTTAACACACCCAGAGTCAGTGACCTGAAAACACATCACTGCTCATGCCAGGTACTGTCTGAAGACGCCAGCCTAACATATTGTAGAAGGCAGAAAGAACAAGCTCCTCATTTACCTTGTTCAGAACCAGGACACTGGGGATTTGGGGAAACTGAGAAAGACACTTCAGCACCTCCTTGCTCAGAGAGTTTCGCGTCCAGTGATCCGACACATCCACCATAACAAGAACTGCCAGAAAAGAGTGAGGGAAATAGAATGAACTTGCATTTTCCAAAATGTTCATTTTCAGCTTCCCTACAGTCTATGGTCACTTCCCTCCTGCTGCTACTTCTCTCTCTTCTACAGGAGAGCACATGGATGGAACCGAAAAGGAGCATTTTAATTGATAAGACAATAATATGCAGTTTATATCTGTCATCGTAATGACATCACACATGCTAAAACTTAACATCCAAGCCCAATTATTAATGCAAGCTGCCTCCCCTCAGCACCAGGCAATTCTTATCTCCTCCTCAGCTCAATATTTCAAATCTTTTCACTGCCCTTCCCTTCTCCCTCATAAGTTCACACTCCCAGGGCTGCCTTTGCTGCCCCATAAACATCCAGATACCACAGCTAGAGAACTGTAAACTTCTGTGGCAGGTAAAGGATTTGGTTTCATCCAAGAGGACTTGAGTACCCACCTAAATCCGCATGTTTCATGCTGTCCCATGGGTCTGTCAGCATGGCTTCATCTAATTTATGTCTGAAAAGACAAATGCAAATGAGTAAGCCAGACACACTTGATCATGATTGTCTTCCTTCCCTCAAAGCGGGGGAAAAACAGTGTTTTCCATAATCCCAGCTGCCACAAGGCTGCCTTACGGGCTGTGACATCCCTTCTTACATGCACATATGCAGAATCAAATGTAACAGGGCTCAAGGGATGCCACAGGCTTTGTGTGCTACAGAAACTGCAACAATAATAAACTTGGAGACCAAATTAAGGCTGAAAATATACATTTCTGTCACTCTTATTTTACAAACTTTGTACAGTGCAAATCGCTCTCTGGTTTTATCGAACCACAATGGACAGGATGCCCCCCCGCTCTACCCACAACAGCGGTGATACCTTTTGGCTTTAAAGGGACTAGTGAGGCCAGGTGTGTCCAGAATGATCTAGAAAGAGAAAAGACAGATCTTGTAAATTTGCTTGCAGTTAGTGGCCAAGCTAAAACTTATATTTGTGCAATTAGAAGGGACTCCATGGGATACAAATGAGAAAACCCTGCAATGTCTGCCTAACAGTCCCCACTGTCCCAAGGCAGGAGTGGGTCTGAAAGCTTACCAGTTGTGTGTCCTCGTACGTGACAACACCCCGGGCTTTGCATCGGGTTGTGTGCACTTTCTTAGAAACGGGGAAAACCTGTAAGAAATTAAACATGTTACACAGCCAGAATAGGTCAAAAAAAGCAATTTAGCAACCTGAACTTGTTGCTCCACCCCAGCTTTACCTTTCTGCCCAAGAGCTGATTAGACAGTGTGGACTTCCCAGCATTGGGCGCTCCAATGATGGCAATTCTTAAAACCTTGGGGTTCTGGGGCTGGTCAGGCTGATCCCGTATCAGGCGGGCTTGTTCCTCTACCAGGGAAAAGAGAGCTTGAACATTGCTAAAACCCCACAACAGATCAGGATCATCTGTCCCAGGGCTGGGACCGGGGCGGCAGCTGGTACCACTCACCTTTGCTGGTGGCAACGGGCGGCGGGTGCTGGCCCAGGGCATCGCTCGGCTTCTCGGCAGGGATGCCCAGGATGCTGCCCAGCCCGGAGCTGCTCGCACTCCAGCGGACAGGGAGCACGGTGGCCCGCAGGGTGCAGCTCTCCAGAAGACGGGCTGGAAAGACAGCAGCGGCAAACACCGCATATACCGAAAAAATCCCCAAAATCGTGTCGTCCCCTTTTCACCCCACCCCGCAGCGCCCGGGCAGCTCTCCTCCCTCACCCAAGGCCCCCGGGGGCGGCCCCGCCCGGCCCGCCTCGGCCTCACCCCCCCGCTCTGCAGCGGCCCCGCCACCAGGCTCGCCTCAGAAACGCGCCCGGCGGCGGCCCCCGCCTCACGGCCCCGGCCGC